GTGTCAGGCACAGGCCCTTGGCAGAGAGCGAGATCAAAGATCAACCTCTGTGCCTTAGGTTAGCATGGTATCCTTGCCTACTAGTGCCTCCTTGCATAGCAACGGGACTCCTTCCCTTCTCCATGAGGCCTCTGTTGTCTCCTGGAAGGCTGCGATATGACCTTTTCCTCCAATTCAGTTAGGATTCCCCCCACCCAAACATTTAAATCTTACTCAGCTGATTACTGCAAAGAACCAAGGAAAAGTATCCCAGACACCTTAGTTTAAAGAACCTGACTTAGGGGTGCCTGGGTGGCTCAGGTGGTTGGGCATCTGACTCTTGGTTTCAGCTCTGGTCATGTTCTCATGGGTCCTGGGATAGAACCCCCCACATTGCGCTCTGCGCTCAGCAGGGAATCTGCTCGGAAGACTCTCTCCCTCTGCCCCTCCCCCCACTCACAGGTGCACACCCCCCTTCTCTCCCAAAATAAATAAATAAATCTTAAATAAATAAATAAAAATAAAATAATAAAGAACCTGACCCAGAATTTGCCATATGGCCACCAAGGTTTCAGCTCTGAAAGGAAGGAAGGGAATGCTGAATCATTCCGCTCCTAGGAGACAAACTGTTACACACCCTCATTTCCAGGTCAGATGCATTTTTTCGGTCTTGATGTCTATCCCTGAGTTTGTGACTATCCTTGTTTCCTGAGATAAGAAATTGTCATTGTAAAGGCCTGTGGGTGGTCAAAGAACTTAATTTGCCCTGGTGATTCTGGCCTCATAGAATGGCTCATCACAGAAACATTCACACATCCAAGCATGATCTCCCAAACAGAACCTAATTAGGGTAAAAGTCTCCTATGCTTCATATTAGCCTCTCGGGCCCTTCACTCAATCATCCAAAAATTAACTGCAAGCCTACTGTGTACCAGTTATGGAGCATACATCTGAGGGATCCCCAGTCATTTACGGGGAGAGAGAGAGAGAGAGAGAGAAGATAAACTTTGTAAATAGATAAATTACAATAAAATATGATGGATGTTATTTTAAACAATGTTACTTGGCAGCAGACGGGAAAGGGATTGCCTGAGGGAAGGGGAGGGGAGGGAGTTCAAGAAAGACCTCAAAGAGTCCAGTGATGTGAGCTGAGGCTGAAGAAGGAATACAAGTTTGGCGCGTGGTGGAGAGGGAGCCGCACCAGATGGGCACCCCGGGCCGGGGAATTCAGCGCATGGGGTCTGGTGAAGTCAGGGCAGGCAATGCATGGATGGGTGGAGTGGAGGAGAGGAAACAGGTCTGCTGAGCCTGCAACTCCTGAGTATTGGTCCTGACAGCCACCCAGTGCCCTGTGCCAGATACCCGACTGACGTTTATAAGAGTTAATTTGTAGAAAGCACCCCGACACCTTCCCGGTCGTATTTTGCTTGGACTATTACTGTGTTCATTTGGGGGACATATTCGCCACCACCCTAGCCCACGGGGGAGACTAATTAAATATTTGCTGAACGAATGAAGAACTTGTGGTTTCTAAGAAGGAATGGAGGTAGACAGGACTCTCATGATGCCACATCCTGCAGAATGGCGAAGGGAAAGCATTCTCTGCAGGATTGCTTCGGTCACCGGAAGGTCATTCCGCTCTTCCCTGCGGCCATTCCCACTCATCCCATCCAAACCCACGCTGGGGCGGCTAGATCACTCATCACAAAACCTTGCATTTGCACGGCATCTTCAGCTTACTCGTATTACCTTGTTTACATAACTGCAATCTTTAAATCCCAAACTTCCCATCTCTTGTATGAATCCTATTTCCAGATATAACCTGGATTTGGGGTCCCACTAGCCTCCACAGAAGGAAGCTCAGGAGGTCCTGCCCATACTGTCCCAAACGGACTCCTGCATCGACCCCTGCACTAATTTTGAGAAGGAATGAAGGGAGCAAGGTATGCATGCAGACTTTGTGAAAGGGGTGCCTTAACTTCCTGAACTTTAAAATCACTTTGCGGGCACCTCGGTGGCTCAGTTGGTTAAGCAACTGCCTTCAGCTCAGGTCGTGATCCTGGAGTCCCAGGATCGAGTCCCACATTGGACTCCCCACTGAGTGGGGACTCTGCTTCTTCCTCTGACCCTCTCCCCTCTCATGCTCTCTCTCACTCTCTCTCTCTCAAATAAATAAATAAAATCTTTAATAAAATAAAATAAAATCACTTTGCGAAGTCACTGTCTAGCCTCAGTGTAATTCCACATCCACGGAAAAAGGTACCATGGGCTGCAGATGCCCTCGCACATACTTATCCCACATCTGGAGCTGGGAATTAGATCAGGTCTCGAACTGTCTGCTAACTAGCTGGATGGCACTGAGTAGCTTTGAGCATCAGGTCCTTTATTAGTAAAACGAAAGGGTCAGGATGGATGATCTCAAAGGCTTTCCAGCTCTCACCCTCAATAATTTGCAAATGGGAAATGGCATTAGTAACTATTTCTGTATTTCAAAGCCAGTTAAGTTCTAGAGTTTATTTCAGAGGAATACTTGGCTCAGCAAATTGCCAAGGCTTTTCTATAGTTTGACGATAGAGGAAACTGGGAAATAGAGCGCATATCTTTATTCACTCAAAAATATTTATTGAGTGCCTATTACTGCAAGACACTGTTCTAGTCATCGTTACAGCACCGAACAAGCAAAGGAGCTCACTCTTTGCACGGAGCTTACTTCTTTGTGCTTCAATTAATCCAGCCCCATGACAAATAAATCTCTTCACTGCTTTGGATGGCAGAAATAGTGACCTGATAGGTTTGTTTTATGTGTCATGAATTGTGTCTGGCTATCTGTGAATTAGCAAAAGATTAAACTGCTTCAAAAACTGCCTGTCTTCAGTTTCTCCAGCAACTAATAACTAGGTATAATTTCTCGTAGTTTAAAAAGAAGTAACTTCTGGTTTGTGAACAGATTGAGATATATTCACACATGAATTCCCATAAAATTTTAAGACACTAAACAAAAGGGTTTAAATGTTTCCTGCAGCACTGAGAATATAATTTTCTTTTTCTAGGACTGACTCTTTAAAATGGTTCGTTTGTTTTTTTAATTTTTTAAAAAGTAATCTCCACGCCTAATGTGGGGCTCGAACTCATGACCCCAAGATCAAGAGCCACGTGTTCTACCGACAGAGCCAGCCAGGCACTCCTCAAATGCGGTTTTAGATACAAAACAGAAAGAATTTCCCTACTCTTTCACAGAATGCAGTATGGGTCTAGAACAGGAATATGATGTGGAACTTCAATTACTATATCTTTAAAAAGGCATCTTTACAAGCTGTAAAACAAAGAAATAAAACGAAGAGTTCTACTGACGCTGGGGGTAGAAAGATGTATATGCTAGGTCTAGATCAGTAAAATATAACATCACTCCATTGAACAATTTTAGAGCTAGAAGAACCTTAACCCTTAGTTTTATATAAACAAGAAACCTGAGATTCAAAGACATAAAGTGACCTGGCCAGGGCAAAGTCAAGATACTTGTTAGCAGCAAAGCTGTGCTAAGGGGCACCTGGGTGGCTCAGTCGTTAGGTGTCTGCCTTTGGCTCAGGTCATGGTCCCGGGGTCCTGGGATCGAGCCCCGCATCGGGTTCCCTGCTCAAACCGGCGGGAAGCATGCTTCTCCCTCTCCCACTTCCCCTGCTTGTGTTCCCTCTCTTGCTCTGTCTCAAATAAATCTTAAAAAAAAAAAAAAAAAAAAAGCTGTGCTAGGAATCCAGGTTTGCAGACTGCTTGTTCAGGAATCCAGTTCTACATTAACTAATTGTTAAGAGTTTTAGCAAATCAAGAATAGAGAGACAGTACCCCTTACAGATGACACACTGTTTCTAAACATAGGGCACCTAATGCTTGTAGTCTATTTCTCCAGGAGGCTATACAGTCTGATATTACTTATGAAGGGTTTGGGTAAATTTATGGATGAAGCATCTAGTACAGATACATTAGACACAGGTCATATTCAAAATCCCTATAAGTAACCTGTTCAGAATTTGGAATCCCTTTCCTCTGCTAAAGAAAAGTAACAAATTATAAGCTTATCTGACCAAGTATGGTTGAAATAGTAAGAATGATGTCCCAAAAAGCACCCTGAACTGGGCCCAAATTCCCCCCACCCCCAGTCCCACATCTGATCCCCGCAAAGTAGCTGGCTTACTTCCAGAGTGGAGGCTGGAGCCACTCAAACTGCAGGCTACAGGGGGTTCCTAAACCAAGGATTCCCATCGGAGACTGCTTGCATTAAAGATAATTAAGAATACCTAACACATACTTAACCTTTTGAGGTCAGGGTCACAGATGATAACCATGTCTTACTCAAAAATGTCTCTTGGACACAGCAGTGGAGAAATATGAGACCAGAATGGTCTGCACCTGAAATCTTGGCTTTTCTGGAATCAGAATTCAACACTTTTAGAAAGGAGGATGAGTTTAAAGAAAATCCATCAACGGTCTACTCTCCCACTTACACACTCAAGAGGTGACTCCAAACATAAATTTCTCCCCTTATATAGGTTCCTAGTTTGGGAATGATATTCTATAGTGCACTATTGATGCTTACACACTCCTGGAAAACTTTTAGAAACATTCATCTTAATGGCAATTTCGTAAACGTAGTAAGGGTTTCTATAAAGCTATACTGACAGGGTACGGATGCGAGCAGAATTGCAAATTTGGGGTTTGCAGCTTGATTTTCCTCGGACCTCCAGGCGGCTTCAGGCGAATTCGAGTTCCTCCCAAAACAAAGTCCCCTAAGTACACGGAATCCCGTTCTCAAATCTTGGCCTCAGGGCAGACGGCGGTGGTCAAAGGAAGCTCTCAAGGTTAGGGGCTTTCTCCAACCCAAGGAGAGCTCGCGGGGAGGGCGGCTGGTCTTGGGGGGGGGCGGCGAAGGAGACTTGGCTGGAGGAGGCCCGGCTGCGCGCGCCCACCGGCCGGCTTCCGGGGACCCCGGCGCGCCTCCCCGCCCTCCCGGGGCCCGCCTCGCTCACCGAGGTGGCCGCCGACGACGGTGACGGCGATCTGGTCCATGAGCACCGCCCGGAAGCGCACGTCCTGCTCGGAGCAGCGCTGCCGGAGGGCGCGCAGGATCTGCACCTGCGGGTAGTCCTCGCGGATGCGCCGGTCCGTCAGGAACCAGAGCTGGGAGCACATGGCTGTCAGGGCGGCGGCGCCCGGCGCGGCGCGGGCCCCCTCGACGCCCCGGGCCGCTCGCTCGGGCTGGCGGGCGGCCGGCCGGCCGGCGTCCGGGGCGAGCGCGCGCCGCGGCTCCGCTCCCGCCGGTGCGCCAGGCGCCTCTGCAGCCCTGACCCAGCGAATCTGCCCGGCCACTCAGCGCCGCCGCCGGCCCCGGCCAGCCAATCAGCGCGCGGCGGCGGGCGCGGGCTGGCCGCGCGGCCAGCTGCAGAGGCGGCCTCGGCGGGCGGCGCCCGGGGAGGGGCGGGGGGCCGGGGGCCTGCGGCGGCCGGGGGAGGGGCGGCGGGCGGGGCTCGGGGCCCCGGGAAGCCCGTGGGCCCGGCCGCGGGAGGGTATCCCCGCCTCGCCCGGGACCCCCCCGGTGGGCGTGGCGCCGCGGGCCGGGGTGGGGCGGCGGGAGCGGCCCGGGCGGCGGCCCGCGGGGCGGACAGGATGTCCCGGCTCCCCGACTAACGATGCGCAGCGGAATGCGTCCCAAAGGCGGTCGCGAGCATTCGGGGCCGAGGGCACCGGTGGGCCCCAGCAGAGTCCGGAGTAGAGCCTCAGGGACGTCCCAAGGGGGATTCTGGGGCCTGGCGAAGGTCACCCGGCTAGGCCCCCAGTTGGACCCTGGCCTCGGAATTCTCTGCGGAAATCCTGGCCTGGAGCTGGGGGTGGGGGTTGAGGGGAGTTGGGTTTTAGCCGCCTCCCGTTCGGATAATTTGAAGGTGCATTTCTCAGGGTCTCAGATTTTCTTACACTGGACAGCACCTCCTAGTTTGCGGCGCTTCTGGGCCTCAGAACCTCAGTGTGATGAAAACGGGTCTAAGACTCCTTTTAGAAGGACTACTGGCTGGTCTCCCCCCCCCCCGCCCAGGCCGTACGACTGAGTCATCTTTAAATACCGTCTTTGGTCCTAGCCAATTGCAAATTCTGCCTGCGAACAATGTTTGAAGCCAGATCCTTTTTAAATAACTGCAAGACTGAAGTTAGCCATCTTTGAAGATTGCATTTGCTCTTCCAGCTCATTAAAATAAGTCTTTTTCTTTCTTTCTTTTTTTTTTTTTGGCTTAGGGAAGTAAGAGTAATTTCAATGCAGACCCAGCAGTGACTACTTAGAAACCCATTTTAAGATGTCTCAGGTAAAGTATAGGCTTCACTGTAAATATTATGCAGATGTGTTCATTTACCTACTGGATATGCCTTTGGAGAAGTTATATCTAAACAGAATTTCAAAAATTAATTCTTTTTCAAGCAATGTTAGGTAAATCCTTTTGTGTTGCAATAGAAACCCTCCCCCATGTATTTTCTTAAAGTATCAGTAAACTAGTGCCCTATGGATTAGTAACTTCCGAAACTATCTTTTTTTTTTTTTTTAAGATTTTATTTATTTATTTTAGGGGTGCCTTGGTGGTTCAGTCAGTTAAGTGTCTGCTTTCAGCTCAGGTCATGATCTCAGGGTCCTGGGATCTAGCCCCACATCAGGCTCAGCGGGGTGTTTGCTTCTCCCTCTTCCCCTGCAGCTCCCCCCGCTTGTGCTCTCTCTCTCTGTGTCATAAATAAATAAAATCTTAAAAAAAAAAAAAAAGATTGTATTTATTTTAGAGAGAGTGAGAGCATGAGTGAAGGGAGGGGCAGAGGGGGAGGGAAAGAATCTCAAGCAGACTACACGCTGAGTGTGGAGCCCGTGGAGGTGGCCGGGGGGGGGGGGGGGGCAGGGGTAGCCCACAACCCAGAGATTGTGACCTGAAGTGAAATCAAGATCCTGGCGCTCAACTGACCGAGCTGCCCAGGTGCCCCCAAAACTATCTTCTAACCACAGATCAGCTTGGGCACTAGAGACTCTATCCTCTACATTGACCATTTCCTTGATATTTCATGGTGTTCACAAGACTCTGGTGCTTCCTATGGGGCTTTTGCAGTATCACACATACGATGTCTAAGAGATGATGAACCATAGTTTGCTGGAACGATTGTTTCTAACAGCTATATAAGAGTCAGTAAATTTAGAAGTTGCTTATAATCCATGTTCACAGTCATCTATGCAAGATTAGAACCTTAAGTCATATGCAGATGCATGTGCATATCTAGGCTTGAGGAGAGCAGGGTCTGAGAACCCAGATGGTGTCATCACTTCCTGTCTTTGCTTTCCCTTGCCAGCAGGTTCCTACCATCCCTGTGGTCTCCCTTTCCTAGGATGGGTGACAGGTGAGGACCTGGGGCAGTGGTATATCGTTAGGAGATGGCTACACTTGTTTAGGTGTAATGTTTTGTTATATTACCAAAATTCCTCAAGCACAGAGATACTGTCTCAGGTATAGGATTATTTTCCCGGATGTATTGGCATATAATATTTTTCCAGAGATGACTTCCAAATTCAAATTTAATCTTGACATCTCTTGAGCTTCAGCTATGTAAAAGGATGCTGTACTGCCATCACCTCAACGTCCCTAAAACTAAACTCATTCTTTTCCTCTGGATTCCAGATTCTACTGTCTTTAACAATAAGGAAAATATATTATCACACATAGCAAGAAATTTAGAGGTAGCTCAGCTTTAGAGTTAGTTCATTTAACAGCTAAATAACACTATCAGGGGATCCAGATTCTCTCCATCTTTTCACTCTGACGTTCTTCCGTTAGTGTCCCTCATAGTTACAAAATGGTTGCCACAATCCCACCTAACACATGCATCCACATAATGTCTGGCAGAAGTAGAGAGACTGTTTCTTCCCACGTGTCCCTTTATATTAGCGCGGAAAACTTGTCTTGGAAGCCCTCAAGCCAACTTCCCACAGTCTCATATGCCCACATCTAAACCAGTCGCCATCAAGAAGGAAGAAACTATCATGAATGGCTTAAATTATGATTTGCCCCTGTGGCTGGGAATTAGAATCCTTTCCCCTAAGCACACGTAGAGTTAGGTGAATAACCTGGGCAAAATGAGGGTTTTCTTAGGAGAAATGAAGGGAGAAAAGATGTTAGGACAAGCAACAGAGGTTTTTTTTTTTTTTTTAATGATTTTATTTATTTGACAGAGAGACACAGCAAGAGAGGGAACACAAGCAGAGGGAGTGGGAGAGGGAGAAGCAGGCTTCCCGCGGAGCAGGGAGCCCGATGCAGGGCTGGATCCCAGGACCCTGGGATCATGACCTGAGCCGAAGGCAGACGCTTAACGACTGAGCCACCCAGGCGCCCCAAGCAACAGAGTTTAATACAGACAGTAATAGGGTAAACATGTCAGCTAGGTTAGGCCATGGTAACAAATGATCTCAAAGTGGCTTATTACAACAAAGTTTTGTGTTTTGTTTTTTTTCTTGAAATACCCTACATGTTCATGGCAGGTCACCTTGGCTACATTCTAGTTTGTCTTCATGCTGGGATCCAGGCTTATCAATTGACCCTTATCTAGGACAATGTTGGTCTCATGAAAAAAGAAAAGTGATCATGGTGAATAACACACTGACTCTTTATACTTCTACCTGGAACTGATACATTCTCTTGCTCAGAACAAGTTCATCTGGCCAACTCTGAGATCCACAGGGAAGGACAGCAAACATTCGTGAAAAACCGTGACCAACAATATAGTCTGCCACACTCAGGGACCAGAAATAGTCCAATCCTGCTCTGCTAATCATCTCTTCTGAGGGTTCCCAAGGGGACTATACACAAAAAAGAAATTGTAATTGAAACCAAAGGATCATTTTATTCATAGCTGAGCTAGCACCCAATAACCTCTAGAATAGAACTCTGCCAGAAGACGAGGTTGAATGACATGGCGCAGGTTTAAGGCTGTTGCAGTGAAGCTTCCTAATTCCCTGTTCCCTTTCCACCCTCTACATTTTGGGGCCAGGATGCGTGGGCATGCCTGCAGAAAGAAAGGGGGGAGCAGATGATCAGATCTGGGAAGTAGACCAGCTTTACTCCTCTAAGTGTGTGCTAGAGACTGAGCTGGGCCTACTTAGCAGGAAATGGGGAGCTAGGCAGCACACAGGGCCATGTGACCTTTAAAAGTGACCCCAGCCACGTAAAATGTGAATTCGTTGATGTCCTGGGTTCTGACCAATCCAATTAACAAATTCTTCCTTCTGAAGGAAGCCATTAAGAAGACAGGGCAGAAGAGAAGGAAATTCCTTCCTATGTTCCCACAGTCTCACTTCTGTTCTCTTACTCTGTTAGGAAGAGAAATGGAAAAGTCCCCTATGCGTCGTCTGTTTGCCTCCTCATCTAGACTGTAAGCCTCTTCTTAAGAATGGGGGCCAATGCATCATGTATCATTGTTTCTACCTGTAGTAGGTACTCTGGTATCTGTTGATAACAGTGATGACTGTCATTAAGAGACATCATTGCAATTTCAGTTGACAAAACTGAGGTCAATTACAGATACACAGTTGGCCTTTGAATAACATGGGGGTTAGAGATGACCCCTTGCACAGTCAAAAATCCATGTATAACTTTTGACTCCCTAAAAACTTAACTACTGGGGCACCTGGGTGGCTCAGTCATTAGGCATCTGCCTTCGGCTCAGGTCATGATCCAAGGGTCCTGGGATCGAGCCCCGCATCGGGCTCCCTGCTCAGCGGGGAGCCTCCTTCTCCCTCTCCCACTCCCCCTGCTTGTGTTCCCTCTCTGTCTCTCTCTCTGTCAAAAAATAAATACAATCTTAAAAAAAAACTTTACTGGGGCGCCTGGGTGGCTCAGTTGGTTAAGCGACTGCCTTCGGCTCAGGTCATGATCCTGGAGTCCCGGGATCGAGTCCCGCATCGGGTTCCCTGCTCGGCGGGGAGTCTGCTTCTCCCTCTGATGCTCCTCCCTCTCACGCTCTCTGTATCTCATTCTCTCTGTCTCAAATAAATAAATTAAATCTTAAAAAAAAAAAAAAAAACTTTACTAATAGCCTTCTGTTGACCAGAAGCCTTACTGATAACATAAACAACACGTATTTTGTGTTACACGTATTTTATACAGCATTCTACTATAAAGTAAGCTAGAGAAAAGAAGGCGTTATTGAGAAAATCAAGAGGAAAGGGAGCCTGGGTGGCTCAGTCGGTTAGGAGTCTGACTCTTGATCTCAGCTCAGGTCTTGATCTCAGGGTCGTGAGTTCAAGCCTCATGTTCAAGCCAACTTGAAAAAAAAAAATCAAAAGAGAAAAAATACACTTAGTACTATACTATATTTATTGAAACAAATCCATGTATAAGTAGATGCACACAGTTCAAGTCTGTTGTTCAAGGGTCAAGTATACTAGGTCTTGTAACCTGGGATTCTGGGGCTCTATTTCTTGTCTTACTTCTAACCTTCAGTATATATTGGCACAAAAGGGTATTGAGATGTGGGTCTGGACAGTGGAAAGAAAGTGATAGTCTTCATAAATATTACATATGACCCCAAGCAGATGGATGTGCCAAGTATATAGAAGATCAAAATTCAATTGACCTCAATAAATTAGAGAAATGGTCATCAATGGCAGGTTAAAATGCATTAGGGAGCAAAAGAAGCATCACACACACAAGAATTCAAGAAAGAAAAACTAGCCAGGCAGAAATGTGGCCAAAAAGACCTGATAGATGTGCAAAACCAATAGCAAAATGAATAGAAAAATAGCAGGATATATTAACAGAAGCCTATGAAGCCAAATTCATCTTCACATCCCTGGGACCTCGCATATCGCATAGCGCCTGGTACACAGTGGACACTGGTAAATATATATTGAAAAAAATGTGTGACTTTGCCTTTGGTCGGATCGTCCATGCTGTTCCCTTCCTCTGAAAAGCCTTTGCATGACCAATTCCTATCCATTCTTCAAGGCCCAGCTCAAATGCAACTCCTATCATGTTGCCTTCTTTAAATTCACCCTACCCTCAGCTAGAAGAAAGCTCTTTGTTTCTGAATTTTCATAATTGATTAATATGTGCTAGTGATGAGTAAGTATTCCAGTAATGGGCACTGGGTCATTATTGGGTGAATGGTAACTCAGATTAAGACAGTCCAGGACACATAATTGCAAATTACAGAATTAATGACTAACAGAAAGTATCTGAAATTCTAGAACCGTTAATCACTGGCATTGACTCTCACTTTCTGTGTTCTAGTTTCTTCTCTCTATGCTGTATGTAATCCAGATGTCAGCATTTCCCTCATCCTCTCACTCAAACTCACACCCCTTATGCCTCCTCAGACCAATATCTTAGTGAACAAGACAGAATTTGCTGAAGGGGAGACATGATTCACATCACGTAGGCTGTTGCAACTGAAGACCCCCATGACATACCTCTTCTCCAGAGTACTTTCTCTCTGCTTCTGCCACAGGGGTCTTTTCGCATCCCCTACCCCAGCCTCCAGCCTTGCTGCTCTTCACCACCACCACCCCCAGCCCTATGCAGATTCCTCAACCCTTCATTACTGAGAGGAATGCCTTTTATTCTAGTTTCTACTTTCCAAACCTGCGCCCGGCAAATCACCATGTTTAGCAAAACAGAAGTTCTTCCAATTAGAGAACCCATCCTCTTTGGGAAATAGAAGGCGATTATAAATAATATTTTTCTTCTGCAAACATAATTAACACAAAATGACTGAGTCGGGTTTGTCCTCGAAGTCTTCAGGCGAAGCTTGTTGGAGTCGGCTTTTGAAGCTGACAGCGCACCTGGCTTTGCAAGGCAGAGTACAAAGAAGACATTCAGGAGGTTGCTTGCTGGCTGCTGTCCTGGATGAACTTGGCTCTCAGAGCCAGGTAGAAGTCTATAGTTCTCAAGGGGCCTTCCCTCTCTTGCGACAAGACTGCATGATTGCTTATCTCGCTGTCTGCCAGCCCCAGCCCCGTTCAGCTCTCATCATTAAAGACAGACCGTGTTTTCTCAGCCTTTCCCAGCTCCTTAGCCATTGCTGACCGAGTCGGGAATTCTCTTAGAAAACCTAACACCGGGCGCCTGGGTGGCTCAGTTGGTTAAGCGACTGCCTTCGGCTCAGGTCATGATCCTGGAGTCCCGGGATCGAGTCCCGCATCAGGCTCCCTGCTCAGCGGGGGGTCTGCTTCTCCCTCTGCCCTCTTCCCTCTCGTGCTCTCTGTCTCTCATTCTCTCTCTCAAATAAATAAATAAAATCTTTAAAAAAAAAAAAGAAAGAAAACCTAACACCATCTTTCCTTCCGTCTCACGTTAAGGTACCCGCTATGCTGCAATAAGAGCCCCCAAAGACTGTGACTCAACAAGAAATGTATTTCTCTCTCCTTCAGTAGTCCAGTAAAGAGGATGTCTGGGATGAGGAGGTAGCTCACGGGTTTACCCCAGGACCCAGGTTCCTTCCATCTTTAGTGCACCACCTACCCCAGGGCATGGTCATTGTTGGCATGTCTGAGGTTGGCTCTCTTGGCCACATCTGTGTTCCAGACCCCTAGAAGGAGAAAGAGAGGAAAAAGAAAGTGGAGAACGAGTGGCTTCCCTTGAATGCTGTAACATGAACATTATACTCCTAACTTCCATTCACACCCCAAGAACTTGGTCCCATAGTCGCATCTACTACAAGGGAGGCTGGAGACTGTACTTCCTAACTGGGGAGGTATATGCTCAGCTAAAACTCAATGTGGGGAAAACTCAATTACTAGAAGGAAGAGGAGAAATGGACACGAGGATGACAAATAGCTCCCACCAAACCTCCCTACCGCCATGTGGGATAAACATCTTAGCATGGCATAAGAGACTCTTGCCACTCTAGTAATATCCAGTCTCTTGAAATGCCCTGATTGTGCTTTTCTGTGTCCCACCTCCATGACTGTTCATGGTAAATTTTTCTCACTTTTCTTTGCCTGCTAGAATCAGCTCAACTAGCATCTTCTCCAGGAAGTCTGCCTCAACCTTTGTTTAGGGTCAGTGACCTTTCTTTGTGTTCCCACAACACACTATGCATTCCTCTCCTTCGGCACTTGTCAAAGTCCTTCAGTATCTGCACATATTTTAAATCATCTCTTTAGGCTCTGTCTCCATCTAGATTTTAAGCAATTTGAGAGCAATTATGCTATGTCTCAGTCTTTTCTGTATCCTTACTACCTAAGTCGAGCTGAATTCCTTTTGCCTGCCAGTGAGTAAAGTAAGTTGCACCATCGCCTGACCCCCAGGCATGCCCACTGAGTTATAGCTTTCATCCGTAATGGCCAGGCTGGATAAGTGCACATTCTTCTTCCTATTTGGACAAAAGGACTAGCCTGAAACCCCTGCTAGTCTAAACTCCTGATCCTCTTCTTTCTTATTTTTTTTTTAAATGACATCTATGGCACCATGAGCTCTATCAGTCTCTGACTGTGACACACACACACACCCCTTCTGAAATGTATTCTAGTCTGATGCTCACGTTTATTTATTTATTTATTTGACAGACAGCGAGAGAAGGAACACAAGCAGGGGGAGTGGGAGAGGGAGAAGCAGACTCCCTGCTGAGCAGGGAGCCCGACGTGGGGCCCGACCCCAGGACCCTGGGATCATGACCTGAGCCGAAGGCAGACGCTTAACGACTGAGCCACCCAGGCGCCCCCTGATCCTCTTCTTAGCTTTTTGCATTCCTGCTTCTGGGGAGCCCAAGACCTATTCTTGTTACCTCCTAGGGGCTGACTGCCAACCTCGAACCAGGGTATGACTGCCATTTGCTGCCATTGATCTTGGACCCCTCGGTTGCTAGGCTTCACCTACTATGCATCTCCTTGATACTGAAACCAGCTGGAACTAGTCCTGGCATATTTTTAATCTTGGGACATTGACAAATGACCCTTTAGTTAGGTCAGTTTTCCCCAGTTCTGCTCTTAGTGGGCTCTGGCCATTTTTCCTTCATCACTGGTCATCCTGCTAAAGTTCTATCACGCCTGATCTGTGAAAGAATCTGCCCATGTAAGAATTAATAAGTATTGTTGGTACCTTCTGTTTGAAGTGAACTAGTCCAACATAGGAGTGGATTCTTAGCTTTGTGGCATATCACTGGCACAAAATGATATATACTTTTTCTTTATATAGACTTTCTTTGGATGAAGAAATACAAGTGTTTGTGTATATATTTTTAAATTTATTTCATAATGTACATACATAATTATAAAACAATGTACATTATAAAATAATGTGCATTATAAAATATAATATATAAAATATATTTATAATATATATAATAAATAATGTACATTATAAAATAGATATTTTGAAAAATATATATCTGTAGCTTAAAATATAAACATTTGAGTATGCAAAACCAGTGTACTGAGCAGGTTACTCATTTTGCAAACATGTTTTATTTTACAAAAGGATTTACCAGTAAAATCTTAGGAATAAATATGTCTCTCTTTTGGTAGAACTTTAGTAACTGTTCAGTGAGGCAGAATTCCCAGTTCAGATGGATGATTTGGTCAGCCACATAATCTATCCTTTTGTATACCAAAGCAATGGGTTAGAAGCAAGGGGATTTAACCATAAAAAGTCAGGAATGTGGTGAAATCATCCAAAGACTTCGGCAATATCCAGGGAACAGAGAGGCAGTTAACTCTAGCGTTCTCGAGATGAAGATGCATTGGCAGTTTGTAATGAACTGAAGGCTCCCAACTCTAAAAGGTCACTTAAGAGTTAGAGATAGATAGGTTTCACCTGCATAGCTCAGGTGCTCAGAACCCTTCCAAGTTTCCCTGCCTGTATTCATTAGAAGCCATTCATTTATAAATGACAGAAATTCGTTCAACTAACATAAGCAAAAAGGGAATGTGCTGGCAGCTTATAACCCTGAAAGTCTAGGAGTGGACTTCAGTTACAGCTAGATCTAGGGGACTAAAAATACATTTTCTGAATTGGTCTTTCTCACTCTTTCAATTCCTTTCCCTTCCTTTTTCTCACTCTTGCTCTGCTTCTTTCTTACATTGACCCCATTCTCTTCTACAAGAGATACCTTCCTCTAGGGCACTGGGTAGCTCAGTTGGTTGGGTGTCTGCCTTCGGCTCGGGTCATGATCCCAGGGTCCTGGGATCAAGCCCCACGTTGGGCTCCCTGCTCAGTGGAGAATCTGCTTCGCCCTCTGCCCCTCCCCCCTCTTTCTTTCTCTCTCGCAAATAAATAAATAAAATCTTAAAAAAATATTTAAAAAAAATTTTTTTAAAGAGACACCTTCTTCTATATTGCAGAGAAGATGGCCATTCACATTCTTAACACTCTTTATCTGGAAGGCCAGATGACTTTTCTTCTACCTCTAAATGAAAAAAACAATCCTCCAGAAGAACTTGATGGGCTGACCCCTGGGCTAATCATAGCCAAGGCTATGGGGTTCCTTGGTTGCTGGGCCCTGTGGCTGTGAAGTGGGGTTGCGGTCATTGGCAGCCTGACCAGACTCCCACAGGGCAGACAAAACAAGAAATACCACCACACTCTCCTTTCTAACACCTGAGAGTCCCCGGTAAATATTTCGAGTGTTCCCACCAAACGGCCCAGGCTTCATTTCATACTTCTGCTGTCTCTACTCATACGTAAGGCTCCACACTGCTCACTGCTTGCCTGCTGCATGGATCCCTGCTCCATGGTTCCCTCGGAGCGCCTGTCACTTATGCTGATACCACTTAGATGGACCATGGTTGGCCACTCTGCTGCTCAGGCCAATGCCTGTGCTCTGTTTCTTTCCTGGACCTCCTCTCACTCCTCTATTTGGAGATGTGCCCATGATTTGACAGGGGCCAGTGCACAGAGCTGTGCAGTTATGCACAGTTGTGTAAGTTGTTTAGTGCACAAGGGCACCCAGTGAGGGCATGCATGGGGACCAAAGTCTAGCACGAAATGTAGTTCACTCCCGTTAAGCTACCCAACCACCCGCATGTGTTCTCCAGGAGGAAGAAGCACTTTTTCTATTTCTGCAAGGGTCCCGAGCCATGCCTGCAGGAGCTGTGAGTGCCCATAGGCAGCTGAAGGCACAGCTCCAACGGTCTCCTCTGAAAAGCAGAGGAACAGCTCCCTCTCTTGTTTGCCAGTGTATCAGAGAGAAGCCACTACCTGAAACATAACGCTGGGGGGGCAGCAGGGATCACAGGCCCAACCCACCCTGTCATCCACCCATAACATCCTCATATGCCCGCCCAATAGGCCAGAGCAAAAAATCATGAAAAACCATCATGAATGTGACAGAGCTGTCAAAAGCACACAGACATCAACCGTGGAAATTATAAAGCATTTTGGGTTCTATGTTTTCTAAAAACGGGCACATTTCTTATCAAGATAGAAAATAAAATCTAGGAGCTCCTGGGTGGCTCAGTTGATTAAGCATCTGCCTTCGGCTCAGATCATGATCTTGGGATGGAGTCCTGCATCGGGCTCCCTGCTCAGGGGGGAGTCTGCTTCTCCCTCTCCCTCTGCCCCTCCCCCTGCTTGTGCTCTGTCAAATAAATAAATAAAATCTTAAAAAAAAAAAATGAAAGAAAGAAAATCTAAGAAAAAACTGTGAGAACCAACTCATGGCAATACCGACGACCACCACGTGTGAGCAACCCATGTTCACATCTAGAGACGCAGTCAGATTGTGACGGCTCTCCCCTGTACAGGACTTTCCATGTTACAAGCAGCTTAAACTTGCCCCTGTCCCGCTCCCCAGAACATAGGGAAGACCCTGATGGCGAGTGGCTGGGTTTGACAAGTTTAGGTAATAGCTGCCTGTTGGTCCCAGAACTACCAGACTAACCAGACCTGGAGCCCTGATGCTGCAGGTGGCTGATGACCCCACACCCTTTCTGTTGTGGAGAAAGCTCTCCTAGGAATCTGGAGTCCCTCTTGCTTTCCCCCAGCCCCTCAGACATACGTACATAGAAAGTGTGGATGTGGCTTGAGTTCTTTTCCTGAAAGGCTCCTCCGCAGTCAGGCAGCACGGGAAGCAACAGAAAACTGGAGGAGGTGCCATCTCCCTGTACCCCAGCAATATCCAGATCCCACTTCCGTCCCAGGGGGCAATCGCTTCGGTAGGAAGAGGGGGCTGTGGCCACTGTTGCCACCTGGTGCACCCCCTGGAGCGGTGACTCCGTGAGATCAAAGGTGGTCACGCACACGTGTACATTTCTCAACCTGTGTCATTGGTAGGGCTGCCCCAGGGCTTTATTTTTTCGGTAGAAGACGTAGGAGTGCTTTGTAATCGGCCACTCAGACGTTTTCTTGTTCCCCTTGTGTGTTATCCTCAGTAAGACGAAATCGGACGTGTTCTAGCCAATGACAGAGGCAGGTGTGGAAGGGAGGTCTCCTGAGGTGGTTCCTGAATACATCAAAGAGAGAAGACACTCATCTAGAGACAGTGCATGGGGTGTGAGAGACGCCGTGAACTGCAGGAGCTTCTATCCGACTCAAGAAAAGATTCAAGAAGAGAACAAATGGCAGAGAAAAATCATTTCAGTAATGCGAGTGACACAACTGTGAGTAATTCCTTTTCAAACTGAATTGCCAACAGAGAGCAGTCCTATACCTCCTGAACTGAACCCCCAGTGAAAAGCAAAGGTGACGTGAGTCACACCCATTACTTGGGAAAACTGAGAGTCATTGACTCTGTCCCTTCTTGCCTGGGAAGTGGGCAACACACTGTGTGGTATTTATTTTGTCATGTCTTGCTGAAGCCTTTAGATTGTATTATTTTTTAATTCTTGATGCCAGCTAACGCATCAGATAATTTAGTCGTGTTCAGTAGAAGAGAGTGTACTATACGCAGCAGACATGAGGTGGGATATGTGGGAGGCAGCACAGGTAGGAGGAAAAATCCCCACTGAATCAGGAGACCCAAGTTCTTCTCCTGCCTCGCTAGCCCTGCTAACTAGCCAGCAATGGGATGTCAGAAAAGTCACTTAACCCTCACTAGCCTTATCTGCAAGATGAAGAATTTTAAATTAGATAACTCATTATTTAAATTAAATAACCTCTGGGGCACCTGGGTGGCTCAGTCAGTTAAGAGTCCGACTCTTGATTTTTAGCTCAGGTCGTGATCTCAGGGTTGGGAGATGGAGCCCCGTGTTAGACTCTGCACTCAGCAGGGAATCTGCTGGAGCTTCTCTCTCTCCCTTTCCCTCTGTCCCTCCGCCTCTAAAATAAATAAATAAGTCTTTTTTTTTTTAAGATTTTATTTATTTATTTGCGAGAGAGAGCATGGGGCAGAAAAAGAAGCAGTCTCCCCGCTGATCAGAGAGCCCGATGTGGGGCTCAATCCCAGGACCCTGGGATCATGACCTGAACCAAAGGCAGATGCTTAATGACTGAGCCACCCAGGTGTCCCAAATAAATAAGTCTTTTTTTTTTTAAAGCATTTTTTTTTTTTAAGATTTTATTTATTTGCGAGAGAGAGAATGAGAGACAGAGAGCATGAGAGGGAGGAGGGTCAGAGGGAGAAGCAGACTCCCTGCTGAGCAGGGAGCCTGATGTGGGACTCGATCCCGGGACTCCAGGATCACGACCTGAGCCGAAGGCAGTCGCTTAACCAACTGAGCCACCCAGGCGCCCCCAAATAAATAAGTCTTTAAAAAAAAATTAATTGGGGTGCCTGGGGGTCTCAGTCAGTTAAGCTTCTCCCTCTCCCTCTGCCACTCTCCCTGCTTGTGCTCTCTCGTGTGCTCTCTCTCTTTCTCAAATAAATACATTCTTTTTTAAAAATGTAATTAATTAATTAAATAAATAACCTCTAAAGCCAGCTCTAAAATACTATAATTCTGGGATGCCTGGCTAGCTCAGTTGGTAGAGCATAGGGCTCTTGATCTCAGTGTTGTGAGTTCGAGCCCTGTGGTGGGTGTAGAGATGACTTAACATCTTTAAAAAATAAAATAAAATGCTATAATTCCATAGTCTCATTAGAAGCATCACTAGGTATTCAAGAAACTCATAGATAAACACCAGGAGCCAAGAGTAAATGAACTGAACTGAGCCAACTACCAGCAGGAAACAAGCCCAAGCTGGTGAAGACCAGAGAGACAGCTGTGAAGTCTGTCCTTGTTTTCCCGGGAGGAGCGTGATGACTGGGCACTGTAGCCACGACAGACAGTCCTGGGGAAGTACTTAGTCCTGGGGGTCACTAAATGTTCCTTTCAATCTAGGTGTGAGATTAAGATACATCTAAATATTTTATTAAGATATTCTACATCTAGGGCGCCTGGGTGGCTCAGTTGGTTAAGCGACTGCCTTCGGCTCAGGTCATGATCCTGGAGTCCCGGGATCGAGTCCCGCATCGGGCTCCCTGCTCAGCGGGGAGTCTGCTTCTCCCTCTGACCCTCTCCCCTCTCATGTGCTTTCTCTCTCTCATTCTCTCTCTCTCAAATAAATAAATAAAATCTTAAAAAAAAAAAAAGATATTCTACATCTAAAATTCTATTAAGATACATCTAGGGGGCGCCTGGGTGGCTCAGTCGTTAAGCGTCTGCCTTCAGCTCAGGTCGTGATCTGGGATCGAGCCCCGCATTTTGCTCCCTGCTCCGCGGGAAGCCGGCTTCTCCCTCTCCCACTCCGCCTGCTTGTGTTCCCTCTCTCGGTGTGTCTCTCTCTGTCAAATAAACAAATAAAATCTTAAAAAAAAAAAAAGATACATCTAAAAATTCTCTGTGATTTACTTTTTTGGTCTTTTGTCTATTATATCTCTAGAGAAATCTATCCAAAAAGACCTACTCACACAGTAAAGTTCTTCATGTACCTGTAGAGCTGAGGTTGTACACAATATAACAGACCAGTAGTTAACACCAGCATAAAGAATTATGTTGTTGTAGCCATTCTAGATATACCCAAATGTGGCCCAAAGGTTACTGGTTACCTCCCAGCCTTCCTTGGTCTATGGTACTGTTCATGTTCATAATATACGATCTGTACTTTGTTGATGGCACAGCTTAGGTTCCAAATGTCCCCTTAGTTGTCTACAACGATAGGAGATAGGAGAGGGGTGCCTGGGTGGCTCAGTCGGTTAAGCGTCCGACTCTTCTTTTGGCTCAGGTCATGATCTCAGGGTTGTGAGATTGAGCTCCATGTTGGGCTCTGTGCTGGGCTCTGTGCTTATGGTATGGAGTCTGCTTAAGATTCTCTCTCTCCCTCTCCCAATGCCCTGCCCCCGCTCAAGCTCTATCTCTCTAAAAAAAAAAAAAAAAAAAAAAAGACACTTTTACAGACTTAACCTTGTTTTTGGTGACCATGGTAGTTTTCAGGACAATTGGTCAGTTATTTTTTTTTTAAGATTTTATTTTTAAGTAATCTCTATACCCAACATGGGGCTCAAATTTACAACCACAAGATCAAGAGTGGCATGCTCTACCAATGAGCCAGCCAGATTACTGCCTTTTGGGAGGAAGACCACAAGAGGTAAGGTTTGTTAAGAAAACAAATTCAACTGAGTAAATTTGATGATCTAATTCACTTTATTAAGTGAGTCATGAGTTGGACAGCATCCCACCCTAACAAGTAGGAAGGAATTGAAGGAGTTGTATAAAATAGATTTTTGTAGGAAGGAGGGTGGGGCAAGGAAGTTATTAGCAAAAGAAAGAAAAGATTGTTTCAGGTTAGGTCTCTTTCCCTTAGGGGGGAAGAGCAGGTAGTCTTATCCTGCAGATTACCTCCTCTTTCTTTGGGGATGGGGAGGAGGATGGAGAGGCCCATGTGACAGATTATCTCATTGGTGCTTATCAGAAAAAAAGGGGTTTTTTTGTTTTTTTTTTTTTTTAAAGATTTTATTTATTTATTTGAGAGAGAGAATGAGATAGAGAGAGAGAGCATGAGAGGAGTGAGGGTCAGAGGGAGAAGCAGACTCCCTGCTGAGCAGGGAGCCCGATGCGGGACTCGATCCTGGGACTCCAGGATCATGACCTGAGCCGAAGGCAGTCGCCCAACCAACTGAGCCACCCAGGTGCCCCAGAAAAAAAAGTTTTAAGTAAGCTCAGTGCCCAGCATGGGGCTTGAACCCAGGACCTCAGGATCAAAGAGTCGCATGCTCCACTGACTGAGCCAGCCAGGCGCCCCAGAAAATTCTTGACTGACTGTTAAGACTACGTTTCTGGGGGGAGGTTGAAATTGCAGTTAGGTTAGGTATTAAGCCTGGGTTTGGTGAGTTGGCCTAAGTGACACCATTTTGGGTCTGTGGTTTTCTTTTTAACAGATGTCATTTTTCATCACATTATATCAAGGATACATACTATCAATATGACTTGTTACTACTGATGTTGACCTTGATCACCTGGCTGAGGTAGTGTTTGTCAGGCTTTTCTACTGTAAAATGACACTTTACCTCCCTTTCCATACTGTACTCTTTGGAAGGATGTTACTCTGTGCAGCTCACACTCAATGGGAGTTATGTTCTACCTCCTTAAGGGCAGAACATCTACATAAATTACTTGGAATTTTTTTGCACAGGACATTTGTCTTCTCTCACTTTTACTTATTTATTCAATCATTGGTGTCACCCACGGACTTCTTATATTCAATTGCTGTTCCTGTCTGGAAATGTAGTTTTTTTTCCTGGTCACATGCTCAGAATTTAGGAGAGAATCACATTGCATTCTCATGGATATTTATTCTGTACATTGGGTTATAACCCAATACTAATTTGTTTATTTTGTTGCTTAAATTGTTCCAGCTTCGGCCATTAGGAGCTCTTTCAGGTGGTTGCTGTATCTCTTTGACATATCCCCATCATTGTCTTACTGTTTTTTGTTTTGTTTCGTCTTTTAGCACTTCATTACTTTTTGGTACTACCAAGATACTTCAGGCTCAGGGCGCCTGGGTGGCTCAGTCGGTTAAGCATCTGACTCTTGCTTTTGGCTGAGGTCTTGATCTCTTGGGTTGTGAGACTGAGCTCAGTGTGGGGGCTCTGCGCTCTTCCTGGAGTCTGCCTGAAGATTCTCTCCATCTGCCCCTCCCCCTACTCGAGAGCTTATGTGCACAAGTGTGCACTCTCTCTCTCTCAAATAAATGAATAAATCTTTTTTTTTTTTTAAAGATGCTTCAGGCTCATCTTGAATATTTCCTGTCCCAATGCTAGAATCAGCCATTCATCCAAGGAGCCAGAGTTCATTCCTGATTTGCATATTTGTATCTAAAATGAACTCATTTAAAGTGGCAAGGGACAGAGTGCCTGGATGGCTCAGTCGGTTAAGCGTCTGCCTGCCTGCCTTCGGCTCAGGCCACAATCTCAGGGTCCTGAGATTGAGCCCTGTATCAGGTTCTCTGCTCAGTGGGGTGTTTGCTTCTCCCTCTGTGCTCTCTCTCTCTCTCAAATAAATAAACAAGATCTTTCATTAAAAAAAA